GTAGTCTGTTCAAAATTCCCGTTTCATTTGTCTTCCCAAGACCCCTGCACCGAGCGGAATCCTGTTTTGACCGGACAATTGTCTGTAAACCACCAAAGTGATGTGGATAGAGCATGCATCCCTGGATCAAGCAGAGTCCTGTCATAGCAGGACAGTTTTCGCTGCACCGAGGGCGTCCGGTCAGCGCAGGTTGTACTGTGCATGATCTCACTCGTACTCCAACACATGTCAAACTCAGGGGCACCTAATGCAATGCAACGTTGGTCGTTGTCGGCAAGTAATGTTGTCGACGTCAAAAAGCCAACACGGACCGCGACAGTAATCCCTACAGTGCACAGGGCTGTGCTCATTTTTAAACTCATTTAAAAATGCTATAGGAAAGGGAATGGACCAAGGAACTATAAGTCACGCTATACTGTCCACTAACACCACCGATGACTTGTAGTTCCCCGGTCCTTTTTCTTTCCTATAAAATCATCATTGGCTCTCCATCCGAGTCATTTAAAATTAAATCCGATTGCATCAGTCCAGTTCTCGCTCTGCACGGGGGACAAAACTCGATGTGACCTTGGCTTGCATTGCGCCCGGCATGACATTGACTTGCATAATCGGACTAATTGAGCAGCACCGGATTACACTTCTAAAAAAACTATGATGACCAGTCCATTTTAAAGAAACATTGTCCAGCCAAAAATATATTCATGGTTCGCTTGAGACTGAATTAGACTGAGTGTTCAGCATCCGGAAAAACTGGACACCACAGAAAGGTATGTATGTTATCACATGGATTGCTAAAGATTTTGGACTTGTCCGTTAACTCAAGCACAGCTACTTGCATGCTTAGAAGTTCTCCATTTCGCAACCCCTTTCCACTCTGATGCTGAGCCTGGTCGAAAATCTGGTGAATGCAAAGTCTGTGTTCACAGTAAAGAGGCTGTTCACTAGATGGTAAAGTACTCAATTCGAGCAAGAGTACATAACACCCAATAATGTGCAACTCCAGCCATGGGGTCCAGGGCGGCAGAACTTCACATCACCTGATGAAACCCACACACATTATTTGCACCCTGTGCATGATAGATGCAGGGTCGCACACAACCCTGCTTTGCGTTCAACTCGCTTGTGGTCACTTTGCACTGCTTGCCAGCGTAACGTTTTGGACCGTGCCAAGTGAAGTGAAGTTCTGTCATCGCAGCACCCTATAGAGGTTACGCAGGCAGTCGCACACTCTTGGGGGTTATGTACTCTTGATGCGAGTGGCAAGCTCAAGTTTCACGGTACAGCCTGATGAGGTCTCACCTGTTGGTGGGATGCCGGTGTAGGTGAGTGAAATTGTGTAGCGCTCCGGGATGTAAATATTGACCCGCGATCGGAAATACGTGCCCTGGTGTCCGACCTGCATCAGAATGCGGATTGGAACGTGGTTGAGGCCGGCCGTGAAGTTATGCGTTTCAAGCCACTCGTCTGCCACCTGGTCGTAGTACTCCACCTCTGCCTCCAAAGTATGGACGACATACTGCATGTAGATGCTGGTCAGGTTGGGAGTATGCACCATAACATCTGTAGTAGGCGACAGATAGGGGCCAGGAATGGGTGAAAGGATAGGTAGATACAGGATAGGACAATTACAACCGGTAGACTGCCATAGATAGAAGTGCATGCACTGCTACTGTAAGACCAGATAATTTAACGTCAATTAAAGTTAACGGTCTCTGGGACTTTTTGTGGGCTACCAAGGTGAAATTCTAACGAATTCCGTCTCAAAACCGGCAAATGACTGTCGCACGAACTTTGGAGGTAGGGCGGCCATGGAAGAGGGGTCGGGGGTCCTCCCCCGGGAAAAAATTTCAAAAATTGAAGCCAATTGCAAGCATTTCCGGGTATTTGGTACCATTTCAGTGTACGGTAACTACAATGAAAGTCTTTTTGATTCTGCAACAAACGAAGAAGGCGCTACGATCGGGGACAAACATTACCCTCCCCGGGAAAAAAATTCAAAAATTGAAGCCAATTTCAGCCTTTTCCCTTGCCTGTATTTCACCTGACGAGAAGGCTTGAAAGTATACTTGTGGAGACAAAAACTTTCAAGATGTTTGTAATGAGCCTGAAGTGTGTCCTTTTTATGAGTATTGAAGCCAATTGCAAGCATTTCCAGGCATTTGGTGCCATCTCAGTGTAACTGCAATGAAAGACTTTTTTCTGCAACAAACCACGATCGCGGACAAGGATTTGTCACGTTTGCGCTAAGCTGGGATGCATTGTGCTTTGCTGTAATGTGCTCCAAAAAAAAAAAAAAAAAAAAGGCCGAAAAAGTGGGGCGGCCTCGGCTGTGACAGCCTTGCATGTACATATCGTTTTGTACATAACGACTTCAAATGTTTACGAATTTTCTAAATTCGTTAAATCGTTAGAATTAAATGCTCGTTAACATTACTGGTCTTACAGTATGCGTTGGGTATGGCTGATGCAAAGCTACGGCGGCCAACAATTGCCCAGCCATGATGCAGACTGACAGTACACGAGCACACAGTAAGCTTGCATTTGTGAGCAGCTGTGGGCGCACTTGGCTCAATGCCGCATCGAGCCAAGATGCCTGCCGTTCTCCCTTTGGGGATGGCTTTCGCTAGAATGATGAATTCGGATGGTATTGATAGGGTAAGCAGTGGCAACCAGAAACACCCGAAGGTTGTCAAACAGCTCTGATTGCCAGCACAGGAAAGAGCACAGAGCAACAACAGCAAGAGCTGGAAGTATAGCAAAACCTATCAAGGCGACCACTCTGATAAGGCGACCACTCTGATAAGGCGACCACTCTGATAAGGCGACCACCTGTCCCAGGAGACCTTTACAACCAGGACCAATGGAGGTTATTTCCAGTCCAATAACCCTTGAAAAGAAGACTACCTGTACATGGGGACCACATTTGCAAGGTCCCTTGAGCCGTCGCCTTAGACAGGTTTCACTGTAATGCATATGCTCCGAACAGTCGCATACCGGCTTGCGGGATATCAGAATGCATCATATAAATATGTTGAGCTAGGGAAAACCCCATCGCAGGTACATGTGTCCTGGTGGATTGCTAACTCCAGTCCCCCTGCCACGCAAGAACTTATATTTTTGAAAACAAACAAACACACACACACATGCACGCATACACACACACACACACACACACACACACACACCTTTGACCTTTGACGCCCCATCTCCAGTGGAGATGATAGGCTACTTAGTTGGGCAGTACTTGATGTGACGCTTCAAATCGCCACTCCTCCTAAACGCTCTGCCGCATGCGCAATGAAAGTCCTTCGGTGCCGGGGGAGGAAGACGATGTTGATGAACCCGCCTGCGCCATTCCGGGCGATCTTGTGCGAGCCGATACCACTCGGACTCCGGAATATCCAGCGAGCGTAGATCACTGACAATCGTGTCTCGCCAACGCTTCTTTGGCCCATGCCGTGGTCTGGTTGCCTCGAGCTCACCAAACAACACTTGTTGAGGAATCCGGGCCGCGTCCATACGGGCAACATGACCCAGCCAACGCAGACGGTACTCACGCAGGAGAGCGCCAATGTCCTCAGGAAGACGCGCTCTCTGGGCTAGATCAGCAGTATTAAGATGACGGGAGTGCTGATCGCTCCTTGAGACTCCCAAGATGGAACGGACGCATGAGCGATGAAACAGATTCAGGCGATTCATCTGCCGGGCATTCCTCCGAAGCTACTTGGCCTTGTCCAGTCGCTCCATGAAGGCATGGAGGCGCGTGTTCGGCTCCCTAACGTCGTCACGGACAACATCAACGTCCGGAATGGCTTGCGTCAGGGCTGCACGCTGGCGCCTACGCTCTTTAATCTGTATTTCTCTGCAGTGGTCTCTTCGTGGCATCGCCAGTCTTCTCTTCCGGGTGTACGGGTCCGCTACCGTGTCGGCAGGAAGCTTGTTGGGGATCGGACCGCCAAGTCTCGACTGGCCTCCACTGACGTCACAGAGTCCCAGTTTGCTGATGATGCGGCTCTCTACCTCACCTCTTTGAGCCACCTGGAGACGATGACAAACGAGTTTGTGTCCTGTGCTTCGGGTTGGGGTCTAACTGTGAGCGTCCAGAAGACCAAGGTCATGGCGGTGAACTGCTCTCACCCGCCACCTTCCATTGATCTTCAGGATGGAGGAAGCGTGGATGTTGTGGACAGCTTTACCTATCTTGGCAGTGTCCTGAGTGCAGACGGTGCTCTGGACAAGGAGCTCACCTCCCGTCTTGCCAAGGCCTCTCGTGCACACTCACACACACACACACTCACACACACACACACACACACACACACACACACACACACACACACACACACACACACACATGTGTGTGTACACACACGCACACTGCACATGCACACGTGTGTTGTACATGTGGCTGCGCTTGTGTCTCTTTTGTCGTACATGTGGCTGCGCTTGTGTCTCTTTGTCGTACATGTGGCTGCGTATGTGTCTCAGTGTCGTACATGCTGCTGAGCGGTAGTACACGCCGCTGTGCTGTCTCGGAGCGCTTTGTACATGCCGCTGCACCGTCTACTGTCCCCTCCGTATGCATTATTTCTCATCTCGTCCCTATAGCATACGCATTTTATCGTCTTGCCTCCGTTGTATTTGTCTGATTGCCGTCTTGTGTCCGTCGTATTTCCCGTCGGTCGTCTTTGTTTCCCGTCCTGTTCAGGCCTTGTTTTACTTTGCACAGGCACCTCTTTTGTCTCCCTCACCCCACTTTTCCCCCTCTTTTCTCCACCTCCCCATAATATATTCTCTTGTCCGTTTTGTTGGAGCGCAGTTCTCCAGTCGCCTTGTTTTAAGTCAAGTCTGAGAAAATACTCTCTCTCTCTCTCTCAATTTACACTAGTCCTTTGTTGTGTGAAGTGGCGAGGAGAGCAATAGTAACAGTTCGTCCAATAGAATTGACGACACGTGCACACACACACACGCACACTTACGCATACACACATGCACATGCACACGTGCACACACACACACACACACACATAAAATAAATACACACATGATGTTAAGCAAGTAGAATACTTGGTCCGCGTCAGCAATATTGTCGCTTATCTTTCGACAATTTAAACTTAGAATTTGGACATCAACGCGTGCACTTGAAGTGATAAAACTTGGTACGATGGAAGGTAAGGTATAGAATGACAACTAGCTATCAGGAATATATTTTCTGAGGAAGGATTCATACTTTATTCGGTCCTCCTCGTCGCTGCTCTCGGCGCTGGTGACAGATATTTTATCTCGGGATCGACTCTCTTGCTTTTGCAAGCTCATCTCTCTTCCTCTTCGCTGCCTGGCTATTTTCTAAAGAGAAGTCGATCGTGACGATCACCTTCTCTAAAAGACTTCGCATCGGTAGCACGACAGCCTGTGTGGTTCAAATCAGACGTCGTTCTTTGCAAGATTTCATGTTGAACGACGACGACGACGGGTACAGTACATGTACTTGCAAATCTCCACGACGCGCTGGATACTCTGAGCGTAGACCTGGAGGCAAGGGAGCTGCGACCTAAGCTTGACGAGCGATCCCTGAGGTGAGTGATCTCGGTTGTTCAGCAAAATGGAGCTGATTCCGAGTAGCCGATTATTTTCTTGTGGCTTGCGCTGCTCTTGCCTACACAGCGCAACTAGATAATCTATTTTGATGCGGCGCTGTATCAATCAAAATTACCCACCCGTCACTCTCGAAATCCACTCGAAATCTAGCTAGACCTTTCAGGTACTAGGAAACTAACTTACTGACCAAAATTCGGATGAAATGGGCTGCCAAGTGAGCATTGGCGACATATAAACAAAGCTGAAAGATAAGCGACAATATCGCTGACGCGGACCAAGTAGTAACAATACGCTGTCTTACATTGGCATGTGGTTCCGTTCACACACGTCAGTCCCCCCGTACACATCGGATCACAGCTGTTCTCTGGACAAGAAAACACCAAGATGGAGTGAAAACATGTTTCTGTTGTGTATACCGTGTTTCCCCGATTGTACGTCGCACCCCCATTTCCAGGTCCATGTCTGATTCACTATCATATGGCCCAGAATCTGCGAAAACCAGGCTTAGGGTGAAAATCATTTTTTTGAGAAAATTGATGTTTTGTAAAAAGGTTGTGTCGCGTGGATGATCGAGTGCAGTGAAGTGGAACCAAAGAGAATCTCGCTTGTTTGAAGAAGTAGCAGTCATGGCAGGAAGGGTTTCAGCAGTCAGGGAAGTCAAAGGGCTTCCGGTAGAATATTCCCTGCTACTCCTCTAGTCACAACGAAGAGTTTTTGAGCTGATCGAAAGGATTCCATCTCCTACACTCAGGGATGGCGAAATTTCTGCCCTAGCTGCTGCTTGCGGAAAATTGTGAAGAAATCGTTTCCAGTTAGAGTCCTGATGGCGATAGCGAGGAGAACCTGGACGACATCGATCCAGCCAATCGAAGTACGGCAATACTAGCTGTTTCTGGGCCTCACGCCAAAGGAACACGCGCAGCAGAGCTCATACGTTTGCAGCAAGTTCACGAGGAAAAAGGCTTGAGGCGCAGTGTGAAAACTGTTTTGAATTGAAGTCCTTGGCGATGAAGTGCTACTGGAGGCCAGGCGAATGAGCGAGCAGATCGAGAGGCCCCCACTCGAGACTTTCCTCGCTGGTCAGCTAGCTGCGAGGGATTGTACAGCGTGCCGATATTTCACTTGCTGGTCAGCACCAAGCAGATACTGCAGCACGCCAGCACACTATGCGCTTACTATGAACAGTGGAACAGTTTGAAATGCTGTGTTCTTGCTTGTTTCTGAACAGTTGAACTAGATTCACCCGTCAAAAGGTGCCATCTCAACTGGAGTCGGGTTTCCTTGTGGTGTGTAGCGCCAGAGCATGCCAGCACATGCATTCAGCCCCAGAATGTGCTGAGTGAGGAGCAAACAAAATTCATGCAGAACTGTGCATGGCCACTACAGCCTGCAGCACCAAGGGGCCACAACAAGCCTGCCCCCACATGCCTACCTTGTCATGGCACCTAAACAAAAAATCATCCATGTCTCTTCCTTCAATCTGGTGCATCTCTCTTCATTTCTTTCCTGTGATAACAATTTTGTGTTTTTTTGGGATTTTTTTACACAATACCCTAGTGTGTTTGAGATAGATTTAATACCACTATTAGTCGACCCACACCTGTAATATTTTGTTTCCTGACCTACCATGCCCAGTAGAAGCTGAAAATGGGAAAAAGTCATTTTGTGAAATTTCACCCTAAGCCTGGTTTTCGCAGATTCTGGGCCATATTGTTTCGACATATTCACTTCAGTAGTAATTCATGCTCAAGTGTAAGTCGCACGCCCACCTTTGTTGGGAATGAAGTTCAGTATAGAAAGGTGCGACTTAAATTCGAGGAAATTCGGTACCTCTCACGATCGAAGGCATAATGACTAGTGTTGAAACGATGTCACCGTGTACTCGTTAGCTCGCTCGCCAGCAATTCGGCTTGTTTGTGCAGCCAGCTCGTTTGCACTAACGAACACCGTACTCCGTACACATGGCGATACATATCGAACGGGGAGTCATAAAATATTTTTTACGACTCCCTGGTCGAGAGTCCAGTCCCACGCAAAGTGAAAATAACTCGCAGTTACAGTGACTGTATACCTGCACGACACTGAGTTGTTTCAGTTGTCGTTGCAGCTTTGGTGGACTCCATTGATGTCTTATTCCGCATCTGCTGATCTGTCGCAGGACATGCTTCTGTCAACTCTCCATTCGAGTGAAAGTTACGCTCAGTCGTTTGGAAGTTTCTCCCGCGATGCAGCGAAGAACAGGGCTACTTGCAATCTTTGCAAAACGATCTATCCTAACAAAGGCTGCTCAACGACGACGCTGAAACGACATCTCGACACCAAACAGCAGCCCGAAGCGAAGCAGCAGCAACCCCAAAATGCTGGCGGTGATAATTTGAACCAGCTGAATTGAAATAAATCGAACTTAGAAAAAAATATTTTTAAATCATATTTGCCACATCAATGAAACTCGTTAGCTCGCTCGATAGCTCGCTCGTTAGTGGAACTGTTCGCTCCTTTGTTATAGATACGCTCGTTTCAACACTAAATTATTAATGACATACAGTAAGACTTGCCAAAGCGACCACCTGTTCCAGAAGATCACCGCCACCAACACAAATGGACCAGTCAAATGACCCTGGATAAGCCATGAATCGATTCATGAATGGAATCTCGTCGTTCGATTTCATGTCATGAGCCCTGGAAAGGGTTCGGAATCCATTCACCCTACTCATATGGGGTGACGTGAATACAGTCAACTTCGCTATTAACGACTGCGGATATAACGACAATTCGCCAATAACGACATAATGTTCATGCCCAGAGCAAAGTCCCATCCAACTGTGACACATATAATGAGACTTCGGGTATAACGACACTTTGCGAATAAGGACACTTTTCTGATGCCCCGCCCAGTGTCGTTATAAGCGAAGTTGACTGTAGCCAGGGGCGATTCATGAATGGATTCAACATCGATTCGTGGGCACAATCGAACGGACTCAGCCGCTATGCGTGCTGCCAAAAGGTGTGAGAAACTGGTCAAAACTCACCTGCCGCAGCTTGAGGGTCTAGCGTTGTGTTCGGCCATCCACGTAATTCCATACATACAGCACAAGAGAAATGAGACGCACAGAAAAATCCAGTCACAATTGCTCATCCTACCTGCTACACACAACCATGTACAGTAAAAACCTGCAATGGCGACTATTCGACCATGGTGACTACTTTTCCTTGTCACGGACACATAGACATTTAAAACAGCTCGGATAAGGCGACCACTCGCTCAACGCGACTGACGACCACCCACCCGCGACCGCGTTGCACCCTGCTAGTGTATGTAAATGTACGCATTGCGCTGTGCACCATGCATGGCAGATCTACACATCAGTCATCAGCGCTGGAAGTGTAGATGTACATGTACATGGTGCATGCACGACACAAACTTGACTCGTATGAGAACCCTAGGTACACGAGTCGTGGTAGAGCAGCATAGGTGTGTGCAGTGCGATACGCTGATCTAAATGATATTATCACATGTGGATATGATCACATGACCCACTGAATTCAGGGCCGGCGCCACTGCACGGCTGTCTCAGTGTACATGAATCCGCGCATGGAAGTACGGGTATGAGTACAGACGGCAAGGCCGTGAATGTGGGGAAACCCCTCACTCAAATTCAAAAAAATTCTCAATTGCACTTGACGCGACCACTGATATCTGTCGGTGTCGAGACCATTCTGAGCTGCACATAACAACAAGAATCTGTTCAACTAGTCCTATGCATGCAGGATAACGGTACCTTGATGCGGACGAGCCGAAAAAACTGCTTCTTTCCCGATTCAGCTGTTTCTTTGCTGAGTTCGTTCTTGATCAGTGCTACGTAGTGACAGTTGAGTAACGATTTCGATGTGATTTTGAAGACGCCTGCATACCCTACCGGAGCAAACGCCGCTGCTTTGGCAGGTTTTTGAAGGCAGAATCATCCTTCGTCTCCACGCTGAGAAAAGTTCGTCGTGTTCTGATGGGCAGATCCATGTTCTTGGCCGCTTATTCAAAGGTACTTTCTGTTGTTTTTGAATTTTTTCATATTTGTGTGCATAGGTTCTGTAGAGTGTTACGATGAGTTCTACTCTTGATCATGCATTTCATGTGGAGCATGTAAATTCCCTGTGTCGTTTGGGTGGCTGCAAATTACCCACAAATCGCAAAGGCCACAAGTCATGGAGTGCTACTACTTACACCGTCAAGGAACACTCCCTTGATATATTCCGTGCGTTCAACGTTAAAGTTGAAGAGGATCAAGAGGGAGTGCATCCCAATCAATTTTGCAAATCGTGTTTTGATTTTTTGCATTCGACCCTGAAGAAAGGCTCATGCAATGCAGGTGGCTGTGGGCAAAGTTTGCCAACTGTTCACGAATGGTCTGCACATACAGACAGCAAATGTAGCACCTGCACTCGCATTGTTGCAAGCAGAAAAGGTGGACGGCAAAAGAAGGCAACGAAAACGATTCGCGGCGCACGCATGACACATGGTGACAGTGATGTGTCTACTTGCACCAATGCTGTTGACATTGACCAAGAGAAGGTCGCAGCTCTGGTCACTGACAACTATGTTTCTTGTTTGCCTCTGTCGCCGGACCGCTTCACGTTTGTGCCGAGCGCACTCATTTGCCACATTTGCGGTCTTGTTGCAAATCGTGCTGTGCAATCTCCCTGCTGCAGTAAATTAGTTTGTGCTGAATGTATTGTGGGCTGGCTGGAAACCTCTTTGTCCTGCCACTCCTGCAAAAAGGTTGTTCTCTTGTCGTCATACCAATCTGTACATCCGTTTGCTCGGGTGACGTTGTCTGAACTTGTCCTGTCCTGTGACAATGCTGGTGAATCAGTGCTCGAGGGTTGTCCAGCCAGAGTCACATTAGCATCTTTGCAGAGCCATGTTGCCGAGTGTCCATTCGCCAAACACCCGCCACCCAAGCGCTACTTGACGCTTTCCTCCACCGTGGCAACTGTGTTGGCTGCACCACATGACCTTTTGCAAGGTGATGTTGCTTCCAAGCTCCTTAACAGGCTAGTTGAAGCTCGAGCGGAGGATGGCCGACTTGAGCAGCGGACGCGTGGCAGCACATCACTGTGGCACAGGGTTCCTGTGGCAAGGGTGTCATCTTCAGATGCCTCATCGTCCACGCTGCGGCGAAGAGAGAGCCTACTCGATGGCATCCAGCAGGCAGCATGCGGAGGAGCTAAAGGCAAGGAAGCGCAGAGCGTTCACGCTCTGCAGTCCCTTCGCCGAAGCCAACGGGAAGACCTTCTCCGTGAGGCCGGCTTGCTACCGGAGGGGCTCCAGAAGGGCATCGGTCTTGCCATCAAGTCTGACCTCCAGCTACCCTGGAATGGGCTGCGCAAGCTTCGCCGATATTTGAGATTCTGTGGACTGTCGCTGGAGTCGGAAAGAGAGATGCGGAAGCAGTTGTCCGAGGAGCTGCCGTTTCCCCTTGTCGCCAAGGAAGTTCCCCTTTTGGACAGTTCTGGCACTGTCATCATGAGCCCTGTTGTCTGCTTTGACAATCTGGTGGAGCTAGTTCTTCACTTTGTCGAGTTGAATGAGGAAGCTGGCACACTTGTCTGGGAAGGTGCCTGCCCAGAAGATGAGCTTTGGGTGAAGATAGGTGGAGACCATGGAGGGCATTCATTCAAGCTTTGCTTCCAGCTTGTGAATGTCCTCCACCCCAACTCCCTTAGCAACACAGTTCCTTTCTTGGTCTTTGCTGCGAAAGACTCTCCGTCAAACCTAGCCACGGCGTTTCAACCGTATGCAGAGCAAGTCGACAGACTCCGCAGCTGTTCTTGGAAGGGAAAGAAAATCAAAGTTTGCCTCTTCGGGGACTACGATTTTATGATGAAATTGTATGGCTTGTCTGGAGCAAGTGGAGTCAGGCCTTGTCTGTTCTGTCTGGCAACAAAGAAAGACATGCAACCATCCCCTACCACCCCCTTCCCCGACAGAACGCTCGACATGCTGAAAGAGGACTTGGGTCGTTTTGTGGAATCTGGCTCGAGGCTGCAGAACGCCAAACAGTTCAATAATGTTATTCGCCCACAAATCCTGCCAATTGAACTGGATGATGTATGTGTCCCCATCCTGCACCTCGACCTGGGAATCTTTCCCTTGCTTTTTGAGGCTATGGTCCGAGATGCAGAGGAGATTGACCTGATGCTAGCCAGAGAAAGCACAGACACATCTTCGAGCTCCACATTCAACGATGCAGCTAAGATGCAAAGAGAGTTGTGGGTACTCTTAGCAGAGAAGGCACAGCAAGAGCAGCAGCTTTATGTCGCACAGACACAGCTACAATGGGCAGTGCTAAATGCAGCTCAGGCCATGCAAGCCAATCATGTGGCAGAAGCACAGCACGCAGGACTAGCTGCTCAGCTACAACAGCACTGGGCAGCGCAGCAGCAGCAGCTCAACGACATGAATGTGCGAATATCTAGTTTGGAGGAACGGCTTGTGAATGCAAAGGTTAAGAATGGTCCTTGTGCTTCATCATTCGAGCCAGTATTGGTGAAGCACAGGATAGATCGGCAGGCCTATCACTCGGGTGCTTTCGTTGGCAACCACATCAACAAAGCACTACAGCCATCAGTGACACAACAGATTGTGTCTGCTCCGTTGACAGTGGTTGCTTCTTTTGTAAATCCGGATGGTGCCTCCTTTGCTCCCACGCAGGCACAGCATCAACTACTGAAAGCTGCCGAAGAATGCTCCGCTCGATATGCGTCTCTCTTTGGCAAGTACGCTAGTTGCAGAGCCATATTCGCATCGACTATCACTGCAGACGACGATATGGTCAAGAGCTTGGAGGAGAAGATCGTATCCTTCATGGCGAACGTGCGGTCGGAGGTTGTTGTGCGGCACAAGCGTCCTGTCACGCCTAAGTTGCATCTGCTTGAGTGTCACCTCGTTCCTTGTGTTAAGAGATTCGGCATGGCACTTGGTGCTCTCGGAGAGCAAGGCGGTGAGTCAATCCACCACAAGTTTAACCTGCTGCGAGCAACACTGCAGAATACGAACAAGGATGTCGACCGTCTCCGGACTCTAGTGGCTCAGTACCTGACGACAGCGCTGCCAACCCACAACAAGCTGATCGTGCCAGCTGCCAAGCGCAAGAAATCAGCTAGCTAGTGACTTGGCAGAGTTCGTAGCAGCAGGGCCGGACAGCTCCAGGATCCAGACTTGGTGCAGGTAATTCAATTGTGTTGCTAGTAGTTCTGACATGTTCTCTTGATTCATATGAATGTTGTGTATCCACAATTTACAAGGTAGGTGAAACTTGTGCAGGTAAGTGGTATCCACACATTTGAAGAAATGAATAAATCACTGCAGTATTTTTACTTTGTGAGGCGCTGCAAAATATCACCTTGCTGGACATACTGGCATCCAAGCTCGGAACATGGCTGGTTAGCATGCAAGGTACGTAAACCATGGTCGCTCCTTCAAGAACGCACTGCAGGCTGGAGCAGGTGAGTCGAAACTGCAGAAACTCTAATTAAATCTAAATTTACAAGTTCAACTAGACTGGCTGCGATTGGAAATTCGACACAAGGTACGTAGAAGCTCAGCTTCAGCGGTTTCCGTGTGTGATGCTTGAGCAGGTTAGTCACGTCCACAAGGTGAGGTATACTAGTATTGACGCCATCATCGCCACTTGGCGAGAACGCAATCGTAACCCAATCGTATAATCATTCTGATTCTAAAATAAATAATTGTCTAAGGTGGAACTGGGGCGCTCTTTCAAGAGCGGGTGGCAGGTGGGACAGGTAAGTCACTTCTACAAAATCGAACCAATGAATAGAGCACTTCACAGACATACTTCTGGGGAACTTGCCTTCTAAAGCTCAAAAACAAAGCTGATAATGAAGCGAGCTAGCTTCGAATGAGCCTACAAGAAAAAGAACATTATTCAAAAAACGCCACAAAACACGATCGCAAGTACGGTCGCAGCATGACGCGTACGCGGATCACCATCGAAACCTTTTTCGAAAAAAAGTGCGTAAAAAGACGCCATCTTGCCATATGCACAGCGCGAGTCAGCCGTGACTGGTACGGCCGGTATGGCCATGGCCGTACCAAAAAAAAAAAAAAAAAAAAAGTCGGTCCACGCGGAACGTCCAAAACCGGGGAGAAAAAGTCTCGATGCATGATTTTGTACAGGGAGTTGCCCACAGTGCAGGATTTGCCATCTAAATTCCAAAATTTTTCTGGGGGACGACCCCCAGACCCCCCTTAAAGATGGCCCTTCGGCCGCACCGCTCCGCGGAACCTGCCTCCGGCACTGGAATTTGGATAAGAAGACCACCTGGCCAAGGCGATCACTTTTCTCGTCCCTTGAGTGGTCGCCTTAGACAGGTTTCACTGTGTCTGTATTCAACTACAGACGTCTAGATGCTGTCAGACTGGACTTTTCTCAAACAAATTGTCGAAATGAGATAATTCCATTAAAAAGAGGACAAATTTCAGCTTCTTCAGCATCATTTTGAAAGTGTGTCCCACTTCTTCGTGTTGTAGCGTTTTCGTCTCCAAAGAAACTTGTTTTATGTATTTGAAATGGAGATAAAGTTATTGTGACTGTTGTTGTCGGTCAGAATGATGGCCCAAAACCGCACGCAGAGAGAAGAAGAGCTCGAAAACGCACACACACACACACACACACACACACACACACACACACACACACACACACACACACACACACACACATACAAAAACAAACAAACAAACACACACACACACACACTACCATACCGTTCTTCTAACTCACCGCCTACGATGAATGAGAGGTACTGTGAAGCGGTGACAAAAGCGTTCGGGATACCATTCCATGGAGTAACTCTTGCCACATAGAGGCCTGGGGTAAGCTGAAGGTGAGCCGTGCGACCAGACACAACAAGGCTGCTTAGTGCGGACTCGGTCAAGCCGTACTCAAGCAGAAATGCTGGATACGCCGTCTGATTGACTGGAAGCGTTGTGGGCAGATTGATGGTGATGTTAGCAAGAGATTGGACTTCCCAGTCGGTGCGGGCAAAAGGGAACGCACCCCAGTCAAGGCCAGGGAAGCCTGGAGAGAAAACGCGGGACACCAGCAAAAACAAGAAACAGCCATCGCAAATGCCTTTAAAGTTGGATGTAAGATAGAGCCGATACTGTCCCCAATTTCTGTGTGAATTTTCAGATCATTGGGACATTATGATTTTTTGTCTAATTTAGTCAAAACTTCCGGCATGTCCAGCTCCAGAACGGCTGCTCCGATAAGACTGGGACGCACGCCTTTGGAAAACGTGCAATTTCACTGCTAGTCGTGAAGTTTTATTTGAGGCAGAACTTTGCCCTGAAATGGACGCGATCAGACTACCGAGAACCCCGTCAAACCGTGAATGGCGATAAACCATGAAGGACATTCGCACGACCAATAAACTTAACGTTACTAGTGCAGCTCTCACTGCGGCACTGAGAAAGGGGTTTTCCCCCAGCCTGAGTTCCCTTTTTTTACTTCTGAAATTCTGTTTCCGTGGCAGCAGCCGCGACAGTAAAACCTTACTGCCGGCAAAGTGCCAGTAACGTCACGTGATTAAATCACCTTGGAAACTTTCCCATTCTGTCACTTTTTATCGGTAGTCTAAACACGCCATAAGACCAAGCCAGCCTGGTCAATAGCGCCCCTGCCCTTTTAAACAAATGTCCCTCCAGCAAAAGAGCATAATAACAGGGAGCGACACTATCGTGGCGTGGCTGCAGAGAAACAGTTCTTTTGTTCTCGCTCGGTTAGGTTTTTGGCCATTGGCGGACCCCTATTCAATTTATGCATGGATTGTACCAGCGTTGTGGCATGTTATTTTGTGTACGTCGTGTTGGTGCATGCGCGTGTTGCTGTTGCATGGAAAGCAGTCTTCGTCTCGAGTTCGTCGTGTCCAGTTGTGTTTCCGTCGTCTTGCCGTAACAAACAGTCTTCCAAATGTGATTCTGTCGTCCATTGTCGGAGTGTGGAGATGGCAAGGGGCTGGGAGCAGGAGAGTGAAATCCTCAGACAGTGACTGACAGAGCTGTGTTACAGGTGTGTGTGTGTGTGTGTGTGTGTGTGTGCGTGCGTGCGTGTGTGTTTGTTTGTGTGTGTGTGTGTGTGTATGTGTGTGTATGTGTATATGCATGTGTGTGTGTGTGTGTGCATGTGCGTGCGTGCGTGCGTGTGTGTGTGTGGGGGGGGGGGTGCGTGCGAGCCTGTGTGTGTGTGTGTGTGTGTGTGTGTGTGTGTGTGTGTGTGTGTGTGTGTGTGTGCGTGCGTGTGTGTGTGTGTGTGTGTGTGTGTGTGTGTGTGTGTGTGTGTGTGTGCACGCCCCCCACTGCCCTGCCGCGTCTGAGCCATCATCGCTGCGCGATGGGCGTCCAAGGTCCAAGGTCCAAGGTGTGTGTGTGTGTGTGTGTGTGTGTGTGTGTGTGTGTGTGTGTGTGTGTGTGTGTGTGTGTGTGTGTGTGTGTGTGTGTGTGTGTGTGTGTGTGTGTGTAGCGGCATGCCAGCCTCGATGGAGGAGTCCATTCTTGCAAATCGCCTGCGATGGCTTGGTCACCTCGCAAGGATGGACGACACCAGGTTGCCAAAGCAGATCCTGTTTGCGGAGGGCACTAACACGCGGCCCCGCCATGGACCCAAGCATCGTTGGAGAGATGTGGCCGCTTCAGACCTCCGTGCGACCGGTATCCCGGAGGCGCAATGGTACCACCTTGCTCAGGACCGGAGGGACTGGCGTGAGCGTAGCCGTCGGAAGCCACCAAGCCAGCCCCAACCAAGAGTGTTCGTCTGTGACTTTCGCCGTCCGAATGACTTATTCCGACAAAAGTACTTCTGCCTCGCCTAATAGCTATCATCGCCTTCGGCGATGGGCTTTCCCAAGGTCCAAAGGTGTGTGTGTGTGTGTGTGTGTGTGTGTGTCGCATATGGTGCAGTCGATTTCCAACCGAGAGATTGCGGGTTCAAATCCCGACAATTATGGTCGCACACGTCTTTCTTCTCTTCCTCGGACTCTTCCTGACTTTTCTTTCATTGGTTAGCAACAGCCAGTGCATGAGTATGTGGTGTGGTGTATGTGAAGAAAAAATGGAAAAATGAAAAATAGGGGATTCACTGGCCAGAAAAGTCACTTCAAACAGCTGTTTGGGGGATACCAGGCTAAAAATAATGGCGATCAATTCATCAGCCTTGCAAGCTGTTGAATGGTGTAATCCCAGCACAAGTTGTTATGTCTAACATAGCTGTTCGCTATCATCGCTTCCGCAATGGGCATGTCTGAGGTCTGAGGTGTGGGTGTGTGCGTGTGTGTCTGTGTGTGAGTGTGTCTGTGTGAGGTTGTTTGCGGCAAAATGGTTTTGACTTCGTCCTGCTCTTGTGTGACCGATAAATTGCATTGTACCTTACATCGGTCCGAATTGTGACCAGGCTGCCTCGATAGCACCATACGGTACCATCCTTAAAGGGGAAGTTAAGGCAAAAATTAAAATTTCACCAGTTGTAGTCTTCGGGGTGCTGAGTCGAATGGTCGTGGTCCGAGGAAGCTGAGACGCTCCCTTCCTACTTGAATCCCAATCGAACTCGCGCACTTCCACCGAAACTGGGTGACTGCGCCCTACTAGATGGGGATTTGTATGCAAAATGTCACTAAAAGCGCCATTTCGTTCTTATAAAAGCACGGATGACCGCCATTGGCCCATATGTTGTAGTCTTTTGGACGCTGAGTCGACTGGTTTTGGTCCGAAAAGGCTGCGATGCAGCGTTCCTCCTTTATTCCCAATCGAACATGGTTGAACAAGCGGTCACGTGCTCCTGGGTGCCCAAATTACCTGGTCATCGTGCCAGCAGGCGACAACTTTCACACCAAGGTTCAACTCGAGTTCAACTCGAGTGACAGGACTGCACCCAAAAAAGGTCAAACAGGCTAGTAAGTTGTACCATGCAGGCACGGTGACCAGGTGACTGGTGAACGCAGGAGCACGTGACCGCTTGTTCAACCATGTTCGATTGGGAATAAAGGAGGAACGCTGCATCGCAGCCTTTTCGGACCAAAACCAGTCGACTCAGCGTCCAAAAGACTACAACATATGGGCCAATGGCGGTCATCCGTGCTTTTATAAGAACGAAATGGCGCTTTTAGTGACATTTTGCATACAAATCCCCATCTAGTAGGGCGCAGTCACCCAGTTTCGGTGGAAGTGCGCGAGTTCGATTGGGATTCAAGTAGGAAGGGAGCGTCTCAGCTTCCTCGGACCAAGACCATTCGACTCAGCACCCCGAAGACTACAACTGGTGAAAATTTGATTTTGGTTGAATGATCTCGGCTCGGATGATGGCTACACCGTAGCTCGGTGGTTAGAGCATCGCTGGTCCCTGGTTTGAGTAATGGTGGTAATAGCCAACTAATGAATATTCAACCTTCGTTGAAATTGCTCAAGTAACATGTGGCCAAGGATCTGCTAAAACCACCCTTTGGTGCTATTTTGCCGAAAATGAGTTTTTGGCGGGAAGTTGGTCCCTGGCCATTGCCCAAACATATGGTGAAGTATTAGGCTCAAATTGTATATATTCATTGAAATATGACCCATCTTATGCAAGCTTTTGGTGCATAAAAATGCCGAAAATAATTGATATTCACACTATAATTCGTATCTGAGGCTTCATACACCTGTCTAGGATACACCTGTCTATGTACAGAGAAAAACTATTTTGCACAGTTGTCCAGTATTCTACTATGTATGTTCCGAACATATAATTAGGACATTGGCTCTGCTTGGTCTGGTGCTGGGCAGGTGGTATCTCTGCTCTCTGCGTGGCAGTGTTGCCGAATCTGTTGGTGCAAGTACTTTGCACGCTCCGTGAGATTCCAGCCGTCTCGAGCGTCACTGGAAGATGATCAGATGCCAGGCAGTAATATACTTTTGATAAAAATCACGGGCCACGTTAGCTTCATCAATATGAGCTTTGAGTGCGTCAGTGTGCTTAAAAGCGAGTTTCTGCCGTTCTTGCCCTTACGATCTGAGACTGCAGATCGGAACATACACCGCACACATCTTCTTTTGGCCTCATAATTATCACATCACTGCACTCGCTGCTCCATATTTTCAGGAACGTTGTGTATGCTACTGTTCCTCCAGCCTTGATATATTCAGTATGCGCATGCTTCTTGGTAGTAGCACATGGCAGGTAAGTTGGAGCGGGCCTCTGGCCTGGGGCAGCAGGCTGGGGAAGTCCATTGATGTCACCATAGTTGCAGGCAGTGCATTCCAGGGCAAAGTACCCTCACGTGCGTGCTGAGGGGGAGCGACAGCATGCTCATACTCATAGACATCCGCCTTAATTTGTTTTAGCTTCCACTCCTTTACCATGATTATGTGCGTACATGAAAACAGTCTGGCACACTTCGTCACCATCCACTTCATAGCGATAAGTGGACGGGACCTTTCTCCGCGCTGCATCCGTTGTGCGATGCTTCCATGGTGAGAAGTAACTGCACTGCGTCGTCTAAACACATCGAGCTTTCCAGCGACGTAACAGTACAGCTCCTCGTTCGTCATTGCGAGCGCTGTGTTGCGTGCAGTGAGTAGAGTATCCGGTGTCGTTCTTGAAACAGTTGACATCGGCACAACTGCAACCTTTGTCCACTCGCGCCTGTACCTCTTCAACAGTACTGGGCGCCGCCTGGCCACGGGATTTCTTAGGTTGGTCCTGTCCTCGGGCGGCGAGGGCTTGTGCTGGCTGTAGCGCTGGCGCCTCGTCCAAATTCTCCTCCGCATCGATCGCAAGCGCGATCGGCAGGGTCACGAGCGGAGAGGCGTCGGTCGATTCGTCATCGCTCTGGTCGTCAGAATCTTGATGTGACCACCCGAAGAACGATCTATCGTCATTTGGCAGTGCTGACGACTCCGCTGCCGAGAATCCGACAACAATTTGTGCGAACGAGTGCCTTCGTCCTCCTTCCGCCATGACTGTCACCTGCGATGATGAGAAAATCGAGACGTGCTGACGTTTTCATCATTTTCTCCGAAAAATTACACAGCACCGAAGGGTGGTTTTAGCAGATCGCGGGCCATGTGGTGTTTGGAGTGGCTGAGCTTGCCGGTTATTGGTCTAGGTGAAATGTCCTGCTGTTTGTACTAGCACTTCAAATTTACTAACTCATCATTTCCACACCAATAAGTGTCAGCATACACACATAACAATCACTTCTATAATAATAATTAGACCGCTTGCCTGTCTGTATTTCTATACATTTCCTCATATAATTTCCTTCATCTTCCTGTGAGAACTGGACCTATTGGACGGTGAGAAGGCAATCATGCCTGTGCAATTGGTGAAGTGAAATAAAAATCAACAACATAC